CATATCCACAGGGACACATAGACACGACACACAGATACACACAAACATCACATACATGCACACGGGCACATGCACAGCCATGCACACCTACCCGCGCTCACCAGCACTGCAGGAGCAGCAGCAGAGGCCTGGCCCAGGGCCCCGCCCCCACTACAGCCCCCTGGTGGTGTCTCTGCTTTGCCTCCGCACACTCAGGGTAAGTGTCTGGAGCCCCAGCAACTTCCTGAGCCAGCACCCTGCCTGTCACCAAGCTCCCAGGACTGGCAGACAAAGGGCAGGAATGAGCAAACGATGATGGAGCACCTTCTCAGTGCCAGACTCTGGGACGTGCCACACCAGCGCCAAGGGGGCCTTTCCAAGCTTTTTGGAGCTGTGGGACCCTGAGTGTAAAGGGAGCCTCGTAGGCAAGTCCAGTAGATGAGGCAGATGTAAGTGAAGCGGCTCTGGCTGGAGTGGGGGAGGGTCTGGAGCCCATCCTCTCTGGCCCCATCACCATCATGACGGGACCAGGTGACCAGAACCCCAGCCTTCCCCAGCAGGCGCTGCAGTGCCTCTGGCCACTCAGACCAGCTCTGCAAAGTAAGTGTCACGGTCTGTACTTTGCAGATGAGAAAACGTCTGTCTCCACCAGGGGGAATAATCTCCTAGCTCACAAAGCTACTAGGAGATGAAGTCAGTGTCTCCGAATCCTCTCCTGGGGCCCAAGTTGGGGCGCTTCACAGAGCCCAGCGCCTCTGGTCCTGAGAGCTCCCTGCGTTTGCAGCATCAGGGCCATGGGGCCCGGTTCTCCGGCAGGGAACATGCTGTGCACCTGGAGAGCCGAGTGTGTGAGAGAGTGTGGGACAGTGTGTGAGGGGAGTCGGAGGAAGGGCGCGTGTGAGGATGCACGTGAGAGTGTAAGGGGGTTAGAGCGCCCCTGATGCGCCAAGGCTGTGGGCTGGATCCCGGGCAGGGCACATACAGGGTCAACCAAGGAAACAAAGAGGTGGAGCAACGAATCCATGTTTCTCTCTCTCTCCCTTCTTCTCTTTTTATCAAATCAATCAATAGTTTTTTTAAAAAGTGTATGAGAGTGTGTGAGGGTGAAGTGTGTGCATGGGAGTGTGTATATGAGGGAAGGAGAGCGAGAGTGTGTCTGTGAGAGTCAATGTGTTTATGAGAGAGGGGAGGGGTGTGAGTTTGTGAGAGGGGGTGAGTTTGTGAAGGGGGGGTGTTTGTGAGAGGGGGTGTGTTTGTGAGAGAGGGTGAGTTTGTGAGAGGGGTGTGAGTTCGTGAGAGGGTAGAAGTTGGCCCCAGCGTTGCACTGGGGAGCACTGAGACTGCTCAGTCCTATCAGCCTTCTATTGAGCTAAACCATGTGAGTGTGAACGTGACAGTGATGGCCACAGGTTCCTGGAGGCACCTAGCACAGCTGTCCTCATTCGGCACAGCACAAGTGAGAGCTATTATGTGCCAGGCCCGTCGCCAGGACAGGGGATACCAAAATGAAGAAGGCGCTCTCCTCGGGGAGCTCACAACCTTCTGATAGAGGCAGATGCGCCTCCTCCTCCAGGCAGGGCCCCGGGCACAGCCAGGATCAGAGCTGAATTCGAACTGTGCTCATGTTAGGGTCAGGGGGTGAGATGTGAGTGGGGCCTGGGAAGGGCATTTCAGGGGAGTGGAGTCACATGAGCAAAGGCACAGAGATGGGGTGTTGGGGAATGTCACAGGGGCTGGAAGTGCTAAATTTCTCGGTTCAAGCCTGGAACCGCAAGTGGCAAGGCCAGGGAGGGGCAGAGGGATAGGTAGTCATGGAGAGGTTGCCCCAAGGCCCTTCCTGACAAAGGTAAGAGGATATGAGGCTGGGGTTGGAGGGGAGAAGGTTTAGAAGAGTTTGGGGACTCTCTTTCCAAGGGGTACAGCGTGAAGTGAAACAGGGAGATACTGAGCTTGCTTTGGTTTTCAGACCTGCACTGACCCCAGAGCAGAATCCTATGTCATCTGCATCCTGCCTTCTCCCCCTCGCCACCCTCACCCAGGGGACAGCATCCCCAGGCCCTCAGGGACCTTAGAGAGTGGCCATTCTACAGACGAGGGCACTGAGACCCAGAGGTGGCAGGGTCTTGCAGCGGTTCATGGAGGAGCTCCAGCCAGGCTCTCTCCCCTAGCCCCAGAGCCCTCCCACTGCTCCTAGGTGTCAGCAAAGGGGCAAGCAAGGCAGAGAAGCAGAATCTGGTGCCCTGAGGCTGCTCTGACAGGGACCTGTGAGAGCCCAGTGACCCAGGCACCCAAATAACCGATGCTTCTGAGATGCCACACTCCCCTAGAACTTGGAAAGCTGGCCCAGAGATGGGAAGCATATGGAAAGGCCGGCCCTGTCCTCACTTCTAAGGATGAGACCCCCATCTGTCAGACTGATGGAGGGGCTCTGACTTGTTGTCCGTGTCCCCCACCCTGGGGAACAGGTTTTCCTGAGCTCCCAAGATTTAACCAAGTCCCTGCTCATTCCCATGCAAGAGGAAGGCTCCTCTGGGAGCTACATTAACTCTTTCAGCTCAGAAGGCTTCTCTGGGCCCAGAAGCCCATGTGGTTGGGAGCGTTGCTCAAAGGGCCGAGGTTATGGCTCCACCATACACAGTATGTGGTTGATGCCTTATTTGGGGACGGGTGAGAGGGTGTGGATGAATCGGTGAAACCCCTCCTAGCTAAAAAACAAGGCTGGGCCTGGGAGATTTAATATAGCTCCCAGGGGGGTTTACTGCCCCTACCCAAGCAGCTGTGGGGGAGGGACAGGGGACTGGGCCATCGTTACTGGAGAAAGATGTTACTAGTTCCCCAAATCCAGGCCCAGGCCCTGTTCTCGTCAGGACCCACCAAGAGCTATTACAGGTGAGCTGGCGGCTGGTCCTTGCCTCCCAGTCCCAATTAGTCAGCTTCACTTCCTGAGCAGCACCCCGCTGGCTGTGTGGGTGGGGGAGAGGGGAGGGAGGAGGCAGGGGTACAGGACTGAGCCAGACTCCCAGGGGGCCAGTAGGAGGCACTCAGCCCACGAAAGAGCTCCTAGGTAATAGCCAAGCCCCTTCCCCAGGGTCCTGGGGGCGATGAGCATTTGAGCAGTTCCGGCCTCTCCCAGGCAAGACCCAGATATGCCTGTAGCTGGGAGGGGCGCTCAGCTCAGGATCCTCCCCTGCCCTCCTGCCTCCCCAGGTCCTTCTCAGCTTCCTGCTGGACTTTCCTGGTGCTGGGCTGCAGCCCCTCTCCTCTCCTGTCCACTTCAGCCTGGACACCTGCCATGGGGACTCCCTCCAGGAGGAAGTCACACCTGCTGCTGCTGGTGGCTGTGGCCCTGGTCTCGTCTCCAGGTAAGAGGGTTTGTCTGGTCTCTGAAGCACAGCAGGGATGCTTATATGGTTATAACATTTCTATTATTTGGGTGATGACTGCAGAGAAATTATTGATTCAGCATTGCTATAGCACTTAACATTTCTGAGGCCATTTCCTAGCTAAAATGTCCCCATTTATGGATTTTACCTTCCCTTTGAGGTTAGGAGAAGAATGAGTCTTTGCCATGTTATAGATGAAAGAAGCGTGATCAGAGAGGGTCTATAACTGGCCCGGGTCACACGGCAGGATTATAGCACAACCAGACCCCCACGATATCAGCCAGCAGTTGAGGCCTATAAGGCTGCACTGTTCAGTATAGTAGCCAATAGCCAAGGGACAATTAAAACGAAGAGAAACTCGATTTTAAAATTAGCTCCTTAGTCTTACCGGCCACATTCCAAGAGCTAATGGCCACATTGGATAGCACAGATTACAGAACTTTTCCGTGGCCACAGAAAGTTCTACTGGGTAGTCCTGCTCTGGGGTCCCTGTACAAGGAGGCAGGGATCGACACCGCAAGTCTGTCTGGGGGACTCTTGGGCAACGCTGCAGACGCAGCCTCAGTCCGTATGGAGCAGGCCGGAGAGGGGAGGCAGAGCACGGTGGCCAGGCGAAGGCCAGAGGGACCCGAGCAAGGGCTCTCATGCCACGGGTGCTGTGAAGTGGGAAGAGAGGAGGAAGGGCTGATAGAAGGAGGCGGAAGGTGTGGAGAAGAGGGCAGTGGAGGCCGAGAGGCTGGTGTTGCTGGACCCTGGAGAGGGTGCTGGAGACCCAGCCTGTCTGAGAGCTGGAGAGTGCTCGGGCCGCCTACTGCTGCGGGGTCTGCTAGGACCACCCCTGGCCTCTCTGCCCTGACCCCCTGCCCAGATCAATAGATGGTTCTTTTCTCCTTAAAGATCTCCATGGGAGAAAGCCCTCCCCTCCCCAGTCCTCCTGGTCCTCCTGGAGTTCCAGCTCAGGCTCCACCGCCCCCCAGGGCTGCAGCCCCCACAGCCTAGGTTCTGTCCCACCAGGGAAGGACTCCGCTGGCATACTCTGCATGTTCTCATGTCCTAACAGCCTCTCAATCCTGCACCCACATCAGTAAGGCTGCTGGGAAACAGAAATGACCTGGAGGGTGAGAAGAGCCTCCCAGCCCCACCCCCAGGCCCAGCTACCTGTGCTGGGCCCACCAGGTCCAGAGGAGCTGCTGGGCTGGGGAGCCCTGATGGAGCAGGAGATGCCCACCCTGGAGAGAGCAGAGGAGAGGGCCCTGGACCCCTCAGCATTGCCCCCCTCAGGGACAGCTCAGTGCTGGGACCCCATCATCTGAGGCAAGGGTGTGGACAGGCTCCAGGGCCCTTAGACCCAGAGATGCAGACCTGGTCTGCCATGTCTTTGCAGAGCTCCAGAGACCAGAGTGGAACATCCAGTCACTTGTTCCCACCCCTCTCAGGAAGGTGCTCAGCTCTACCTCCTTTCTGCCCCACCCCGGGGCTCCAGCTGGTGCAGGGAAAGGCCACGAGGACTCCCCTCCACACTCACATCTCTCTCACCCCACGCCTGTGTTTGGGGAGCAGGACAGGGGATCAGGGAGAATCAGGGAGTATCGAGCAAGGACAGCAGGAAGGGGCGGCTTTGCCTGGGAGTGTGAGCCCTTCAGAGGAGTGTGTAGAGAGTGAGGGTGTGTCTGGACGTTTGAGAGGGAGATGTGAGTGAGTTGTTGCATGGAGGCTGCTACATTTGGGGTGATGAGTGTGAACAGAAGGCCTTCTGGCACTGTGCAACGCCCCTCAGCCCTGTGGCCCTGCACAGTGCCCACGAGGCATTTCTAAAAGCTGACTCCCTGATTCCTCCTTCCCTCTCTTGGACAGTCAGGCTCCCTGCCTCTAGGGCAGAGCAGGCCTCTCATGGTTCCAGGGGGACTGAGGGCAAGAACCATGGCCACTGCGGGTGGGGATGCTGGCGTGGGGCGAAGCTGGCCAGCTCCAAGCCCCTCGCTCTGCCCCTTCTTGCTGTGGGATTTGGAGCAAGTTACTTAACCTTCCTGAGTCCCGGTTCCCATACTAGTGCAATAAGGAAACGGCAGTCACCGCCTTGTGACAAGGTTGTGACCAGGACACGCAGGGCCTGGTGTCCAGCAGCAGGTGAGCACTCAGTTACCCTTGCCCCCTCGCCTGTGCTTATTTTTAACACAGACGTGTACGTAAGTGTAGAGCATTCAAGGTGTGCGCCGTCTGTTAGACATGCGTGGGAATGTGCCCTCTGAGTGCTGGGGTGGCTCAGAGGGTCTGGCGTACTCGTGTGCGACGTGTGTGTGCGAGGAAGTGTGCGTGGTGCGAGGTGTGACATGTGCGCGTGTGGACACTGGGGCGGCTTCTGTGGGGCTGCAGGCAGTGGGAGCAGGCCCCTCATGTCGTTC